TAACTCTCCCTTTAAGGAGTTTAAACCCTAAACCCCAAACCCTAAACCCCAAACCCTAAACCCTAAACCCCAAACCCTAAACCCCAAACCCTAAACCCCAAACCCTAAACCCTATATAACCCCCTTTTAGGAGTGTAGACTATAGACTATGGCTCATGTTTCTATCATCTCCACTGCGGCGGAAGAACTTAGAGGCGTCCTTGCCTGCCCAGGCGAGGATGGTCGTAGGGCCTCCGGGATGTCGGTCCATGAACTCGGAAAGGTCGTATACCTGGTGCAGGGTTTAGGGCTTAGGGTTTAGGGTTTTGGGGTTTTAGGGTTTAGGGTGCAGGGTTTAGGGTTCAGGTCTTATCTATAGGGGGGTTTTCCCAAAATTAGGGGTACCTTTTTGGGAGTTCCTATAATAGGGTAATATTTTGGGGTATATACCTGCCAGGGCGGGGCTTTAGGGAACCTGTTGAGGATTGAAGGTTTCTAGGGTTTAGGGTTTAGGGTGCAAGTTTTGGACGAGTTAGAGAAACTAAACCTGTTGTAGCCTGAGCCCCGAAACCCTAAAAACCCTAAACCCTAGATTTCCCGATATGCCCCTATAGACCTCCATATAACTCCTATACCCCCCAAACCCCTAAACCTTTTGGTTATGGAATAGAACCAGTCCTAAGACCATAGACTTGCTGGGGTTTCTAGGGTGCGAAAGACATGGAAACGGTTCAGGGTTTAGGGTTTGGGGTTTAGGCTTACCTAGACCTCTATACCTGGCCCCACCATACTGATGTTTTTCGGGTACCAAGTTTTGCATATAGAAGATATTAGACTTCAAGTTAGGTTTCCCAAGGATGGGGCAGGGTATACTCGTCTAGGTGCTATACTGCACAGGCTACTTTCTGAACCCATGTCTTGCCTCAGTACTAGCAACCAGTAGGTAAATTCGATGTGCGCCAGGGTTGAACACGGTGGGATTCTGCCTGACTCCCTTCCAAAAACTTGGGAAACAAGCTTGGGGGTTCCATATTCTACTTAAGAGAGCTCTTCAGTGTCTGTTTACCTCTTGTGCTTTCTTGCCTTCTCGGGGTCTATTTCACATTATTCTCAGAGAGATGGCGCTGCTACGGCTCTAGGAAAGCAAAAAATGTACGGGCGTGTTTAGTTAGAATCGTGTTGGGTATGAAGGAGATGGGGTTCATGACCATGCTAAACCTTAAATCCTAAACTGTCAAGGGAAGGGATTATTTCGCATCTCGAGTTTTCATGCGCAAGGTCTGGGGAATTGGAGTACAATATGCGCCTTTTTTGAAGTTCTGGAGTAGACTATGCTAGGTCCAGTTGTATAATATGCAAGGATTACGAGGGTATCATGTTGCAAACCCCCTAACCCTAGACCCTAAACAAACCCTAAAGCCCTAAACGAAAAGCTCGCTTCCGCAGTGGATGGGCACCCTAAACCCTGAACCCTTGCTTCTCTCCAGGACTTTGAGAGTTGAGGGAGCGCAAGCTGCCTGCAACTGCAGGGCCAGAATTCGACCTACCCTCTCGCAAGGGTTTAGGGCTTAGGGTGTAAGGGTTTAGGGTCTAGTGTTTAGGGTTTAGGGTGCCCATAAGCTCAACGGGCAGTAGTCAGCAGTCTTCATTGGCCCCTTCTTGGGGTCCCACGTTGCTGTGTAGACCTCCTTGGAAATTAAGGTTGATAGGTGCAGGAGACAGCATCGGACTGCTCTGCTGACAGGGCATGATTCATGCCGAGGCTCACCAGAATTTTAGGACCTAAACCCTAAGGGGTTAGGGTTTAGGGCTTGGACCTTAAAGCAGAGAACAATATAATTAAGCAGTTTAGGGTGTAGGACCAGCCCTAAACTCCACATCCCAAACCCTTGATCAGGGGTTCAAAGAATTTAGGGCTCATGTAGAACTGCTTTCTGTAACCCGGTTCAAACTTATAACAACATGAAGGCACCTAGTTATCTGTACAATTATACTTGAGGTACAATTACCCTGAACCTCCAGGAAGAAACACATGCGCTATAGTCTAAACTCCTAGTATCCCCTTAATAACTCCTAGCATACTCCGCTATATAACCCCCTGTATAATCCCCCTTTAAGAAGTTTAGACCCTAAACCCTAAACCCTATATAGACCCTAAACCCTAAACCCTTTATAACACCACTTTTAAGGAGTTTGGACTATAGCTCATATAGTACATGGGGACATGTAGGGGGGGCCGAAATCACCACTCGGAGTTTTAGTCTCCAAGCCCACCCCGAAACCAAGTAAGATTTAGGGTTTATGGTTTCATATATATATATATAAATATGCAACCCCCCCCTCAAAACCTACCTTTGATCAGCAAATCATAGCCCGCGCAGTGGATTTGACTAATTTTCTACCTTTTGTGCTACGGTATAAGTTATATAGAATACAGCATTGCGCGAGACTGGCCTTACTGCACTCTGAAACTTCCATAGCCTGGCTTAAGTATCATCGAATTGGTCTTCCTGCCTCCTACATCCTAACCTAACTTTTTTTTGGAAAACTAGCTACTAGCAATCTATGCAGCAAGAATCTCTAAATTGATTTGCTGAGTTCTAGAAACTCCATAGTACATCCACAGTGGTAACCAATATTTTCTTCTACTATCTACACCATAGCGCAACGTTAA